GATCTACAATAATATACATGTAAATATATGGACAACTATAATCTATAGGACTTTAACTTATAATAGACACTGCAAAGACCCACATTTCTTTCTATTTCGCAAAACTAAAACAAAGAGAGATTCACAAGGAGAATGTTCACCAAACTTGTTAAATCGTACCTTTAATATATGACTGTGATCAAACGCCCTTTAAAATATAGTGAGAAAACCTTTGAAAATATGCCAGTTCAACACAATAAAGCATGACTCAATACAGCAGCATAGAGAAAATGAAGAAAGAAATGCTTCAGGTTTGGACTATCTGGGTCTATAATCTTTAATGCAAACAGTTTTATCTTGATCTTATATTTACAGTTGTGCAGATGAATGGTGAATGCTCATATTATGCATGCAAGAAAAGGCTGCGCCAGAACAGTATTTCCCTGGCTATACACAAAAACAAGTACATGTACATGTACATGTATACTACCAGTAATATGCATGAGCAAAAATTAAAAGGAGGTCTCAAAGATGCCAATTTTATGCACTACATGCCCACTTTGTAAAGATTGAGGTCAAGAAAAATAACTCATCCTATTTATGCCGTTTGAAGCTTGCATTGGTGCATGTACAATGCACATCAGCATCAATTGCAAGTACATTGTGTGGGCTTTATTGTGACAAAAATTAGGGGAAATGTGAATCGCCGTTCATGAAATTTCAATATATTTATACTTTTATAGATTAGAAACTAAAAGAGTTTTTTAGAACAAAACAATATATTTCACAGTTCACACTGTGAGACTGTGTCTTCATCATGATGTGTTCCTGAAGTGAAGAGTTAAATTCTTTCTTAAATGAAGGTATAACAATTTTTTAAAACCATTCAACATAATTTGCTTCTGGTGAAAATACTGTACAACTGTAGGTCTTCAAATACAGGAATTTTGCCAATCCCATGAACAGAATATCAATTTTTTACTGGTCCCTTTAACTTGATCAGGACTATAGAAGACATGTGCACCCTACCACATTGTAAACATAGAAGTTGCTTTTTTATATGAGAGCTCTCCTCCGCACAAAGGCAGTTAAAAGAAGGCAAATATGCTGCAAAGTTAGAGTCAAACACTCTGACTGCATAATCTGTGTGTGATCTGCACTCTACATCACATAGAGTGCAAAACTCTGTCGTAGAAATGAAATGACTTTGCTTTGAAGATGAAATCAGCAGAAAAGTAAATTCTATTCAATGTATAAGTTAATGTATAATCGTAGGTCTATTGTATCAGAGTTTAGTTTCAAAATTATTTACCGGTAGGGTAAAAGTAATGTACATGTAGATAATAATATAAAAATCATATACAGATTAGTACACTTCAGGGTGCAAACCTACATGTACATGTACAATAAACATGCACATGTACCTTTGGAATGTTTAAGGAAATTATAAGTACATTCTGTAAGTTAACAGTTCTTTGCATGTTGTGGTCTACAAATTGAATTTAAAATAAACAAACTTGAATTTGAAAAATATTTTAAACACTCATACAGGAAGAAAAAAATATCATACATGGGCCTAAAAACACGAACATGGTACGCAGGTTTTATATCTATTGGTTATCTTCTCATTTTTTAAACATCAGAATTGTACTTTGAAATGATGTTTATCTATATCTTATTTATTAACGAGTACATAACCCCTGTATACTATTTTATGTGATAAAAAGAATTTCATTTTTTTTTTTTTTTTTGTTCCTTCTTTACTTATATATACATGTATATATATTTGTTTCGTTTTGTATTGTTTTGTTATTGTCCAGTAAATTATTTATGTACATAGTTATCTATTGCAAAAATATTTTAATTCAAACCTTTGGCACAGCCTCGACAAGTTCAAATTTATTTGAACTTTTGCAGTGACCCAAATTTCATTTGATTTCTTTACCTTTAAATGTACTGATCAGTGACCTTCTGATGTTTGTATAACTTGTGTTGTCTTTTATATACATATATGTTTTTTATTGAATGGAATGAATAAATCTACTCGTACTGTGCTATTTATTTATTTATTTATTTATTTTGTTTTATTTACCCAGGGTAATCCCATCAGTGAGTCAAACACTGTTTATACTTGGGGGCCCTGCAAATAGTACAACGAAATTATACATGTACATGAATACAAAACAACAAATATTACAAAGACATCAGACCTGCAAGAAATATTAAGCTTAAAAATATTTTTAAAATGTTGCATTTGTATTCACAGCCATGTGAAGGATGTTAAATCACTTCTCTAATCTATACACTCTTCTCATGTTATTTCAAATGTGAGTACAATATTTGTTTGGGGTACTTTTAGGGATGCCCCTCAATAGGTTCATGTGGTATGTGGGCTGGTGGCACCTCCTCCGATCCCTAACCATGCAGAAAATCTGATAATCTTGTAATGACTGCAATAAATCCCTTGGCAAATCAACCATGAACTGTGCATGTAAACAATATAGGATGATGGGTTACTACAAATAATTCAAAAAGATTTGAGGACAAAGTAAACTGACAGATGACACACACAAATACTTTTAGATAATCAAAATTGTTATTTAATCCTGTATTATGCTGAAATCTGGCCACTCTCTTTTCTTTTCCTCCATCTCGTTTTTTTCTCCATTCTCACGCTTTAATCAACTCTTGTAAACTACTGTATGCCCATCTATCCTCTAGCCTTTACATAATATACAGTACATGTACCTCTTCTCTCCATCTTATTTTTTACTTTTACCGTACTTCAAATTCAATTCTTATTCTCTTCAACTTTCTCTTACTAGTTAAAAGCACTTAGTTACTCCCATTACTTTGTTATTTTTTTCTCCAACCTCCACTCCTATTACATGTGCATACATATTATGTACATGTATGCTGCTTGCAATTTTTAATCGTCTACTACATTTTCCTGGTTTCCTAATCCACATATTCTAGTGGGCTGTGTCATCTCCAACTGTGGCGGGTTTTCTATTTCCTATTTACCTTTGTCATGCACATCAACATTAAATTAATTGACATCTGATACATGTACATGTACTGTACACATGTACATGTACATGTACCGTACATTATATTTGCTGTTTGTGTTTTGCTGACTCGTGCAGCAAGGCTCTAAAGGAGTTAAATTCCCTGGGAAGTCAACTGCTCTTTCAAAGACTAAAAGATAGTTAGCAGGAAAATAAGTAAAGCAGATTGATGAAAATTTAAATGACCTTGGAGAAACAACAAGACAGATTATTTGTAATCGGTATTTGGTAATGCCTCATCAATGTTCATGTACACCCTGTATGATGTACTGTAGTGCTGGACAGCTCTACCAACTTTTTTATCACACAAACAAACTAAAATGTCACTTTTTCAAAGTGTAATTAAATGACATGAGGATCTTTTCTTTTCGGACGACCTACATGTACATGTACATGTAGACGCAATTCTTAGTATGCATAATGTAGTACCCAAGGAGAAAGTGGGAGAAAATGGGAAAAAGTGAGAAAACCAGAAGATTATAAATGTAATATTTCAAATAACGGGAGACTTGTCATCTCCATATCTTCTTCACAATCCATGGACCAATTACCGGTAGAGATTTTATACATATATTTTTTATTACTGAACTCAACAAAATGGTCATTATTTTCCCTTTATTTGCCTGATTTCTTTCAAACTTTCTGCTTCACTGACTGCTTTTCTTTCAGCCTTTCACACAAGTGGACTAATTAAATTTGTCACAAATGAGCAACGAACACACCAAATTCAGCGCTGCAATGACGCACCAAACAGCGTAAAATACCACTTTTCATCCACCAAATGAATACGAACACTTGCATCATACAATCTTCAATTCCATTATCACTGTTATCGGAAAAAACAATAAAATCACAAACTAGACCAGTATATCTACTAACGGCTACTGGCTAATAATATGAAGACTTACATTACAATATTGTACACAATTCATAATTCATAATTCATATTTTACATTATTAGTTTGTATATTGTAAGACATTGTTGAGTACTGATTCTTGTTTTGTCTAAGTATCGATTGTAACAGTAAATTCATTATTTTTTGTTTTGTTACGTTCTATAAACTGATTTGTAACAAAATACTTTGTTTAGTTTTTTAAGGGGTTAGGCTCGACTAGCACATGTGCTATTATCTGGCCCCTTTTACCAACAAATAGTTTCTCTTTCTGTATATGTAATTATTGTATAAAATGTATGGAATGTATTGCTGTTGGTAAATAAATCAAATCAAATCAAATATGGTAGGGTACTCTGCAATTAAGCCTCAACTTCAAACCTACCGTAAATCTCTCAGTATAACACACACTTTTTTGCTGCCGAAAAAAATTGAAAGTCGGGGTGCGTCTTATACACAGGTACAAGTTTTAATTTATGCCCTTCCACCTGGCACTATGCCTGGCAATGTCTCCCAGCTCAGTAATCGGTGTGTTGACTCACCATGCACCACTCGGAAGCTAGTAGAACATCACTCAAATTTGTCTGTCATCTTGGTTTGAGAGTAATCTTTCTAATAGATCTCAATATGTAGTTTATTATAACAATTCCTCCAATGTTTCTTCTATTACACATGGCGTACCACAAGGTTCTATTTTAGGTCCTCTATTGTTTTTAATTTACATTAATGATCATACATATTCTTCTAAGAACGACATTGTTACTATTATTTGTGACAAGTTCACAAGCAAAAATTGTCGCCTTCAACTGCACTTCACAGTTAAATGAAAGTCCTTTTTTAACACAAACCTGGCTTGCTACCTACAGAGATTTAAAGATGACACTTCACTATCTTTACAAAATTAACCTGCACTCCATACCCTCCAACTAAGGATTATATAGCATATTTAGTTTACAGCAGCCTACTAGTTCGAATGCGATGAACTCGCTGATCTCCGAAAAGCGGAGGGACAACAACAAAGAGAGAGGTACAGTGTACATGAAGAAAAAATTGAACTAACCTGCATGGCAGTATATCCAAGCTCCTCTTCCATAATCTGACTGTATTTCTTAGCAAGCGTCCTTGATTCGTCCATCAAACTTGTTGTAACTCCAGATCGGAACTCAGCCTGTACAACGGAATATCCCTGCCGCTTACTCCCCGCAGCCGATCGGCCAGCTCCCGATATCCCTTTCAACAAATCTGGGTTGTTAAATTTGATAACTCCATTCGGAAACTCTGGTAACTTCTTTTTAGAGTTTGTAGGATCATCCTTGATGCTCCCATCGATTTCATCTTCCTGTTCGTTGGTGGATTTGTTGGCCTTTTCGGCGTGGATCGACGACACAATGAGAGCAAAACACAGCCACAGCTTGGCAACTGTGTATACCATTACCACGGGCTTTATACGCAGTAACGACGCCATGTTCTTCCCGTGGACAGTGGTGGCTGTCACCGATGGTTAAAAGCTTCCTGCAGAAAACCTGCTAAAATTATTCCACAAGAAGAGATCAGCTATGAATATAATATCTACAGTATCATTATTACTGATGTAATGCACAGTGTCCTCCCGACTAAGCTAAACACTCCTTCCTGGGTTATTTTGGTGGCGTTCTCCCTCTGCATAAGAGGTGCACGGCGAACGTCTTCGGAACACTGACAAAGATTGGTCAAGTAAGATTTGTACCGTGCTTAATTTTACACCGCGTATACCGTACCGTACCATCCACAGGCTTAGTACATGTACGTACGGTGCGTACCGCTGGAAGTGGTGTTGTTTGTGGTGAACTGGAGCTAGCCGAGTTGGGGAGAGAGGGCGGAATAACAACTTTTTTTCAGTGGCAGATTGAGAGAGAATGCATACAGAGAATCTTCATTGACATGTATGCTGGTCCCCTGCGAGGCCCCGGGCGAGGCGTAGGTGGATTCCAAGGAAGTGGGGTAGGGGTAGGGGGTGGGGGCCTGAAGGGAGGGGTGCAGGGATCCAGAAGGGTGCAAAGAGGGGTGAAGGGATAATTGGAAGCGACTCGTGAGATAATAACGCTATTGCAGTCGGGCGGATTAATAATAATAATAATAATAATATTCGGTTGTTGTAAAGCGCATATCACATATACAACGTCTCTATATGCTTCCAATCAAAGCAATTGTTATCCTAACTCCGGCAGCCAGGGGCGGATCCACGTAGCGATTTTTCCGGCCCGAGCCCCGCCCCCTCCCCAGCCCCACAAAACTATAAAAAAAATAGGATAATAACGTAAAGTTAACCTTTATAAAACAAAAAACAAAAGCGCCCCACCCCCCCCCCCCCCCGCTTATTCGCCGGCCGGCTGAGACGGCACTAGATTTTGTATTAAGATTTGGCTACCCCCCCCCCCCCCTTTGACGGCGACTGGATCCTCTGCAGGCGTGGATCCAAGGGGGGGGGGGGGCTGGCGGGTCAACAACAACAACAACAATTTTTTTTTTAAATCTCACGAATTAGGTCCCCAAAAAAAGAAGAAATAGTGGTCTTACCCCTCCCCCCCCCCCCCCCCCCCCCCCCCTTATTCACCGGCTGACTGAGTCGGCGCAAAATATTTCCTGAAAAATTGGACCCCAAAAAATGCCTCCTTCATATTCTCCTCACCCCCCCCCCCCTCTCTCTCTCTCTCTCTCTCTCTCTCCCTCTCTCTCTCTCCCTCTCTCTCTCACATACACTCTCTCTCCCTCCCCCCCCCCCCCTCTCTCTCTCTCTCTCTCTCTCTCTCTCTCTTCTTTTTTTTCTCTCTCTCTCAATATCTCTTCCTCTCTCTTTCATTCACACTCTCCGTGCTCTCCCGAAGAGTTCTCTTCTAGTACTCACATCAGTCTGTTACTTCCTCTTATTTATAGCTTCACTTCATATTTCCCTTACACCTCTCTCTCTCTCTCTCTCTCTCTCTCCTATCTTTCTTTCTGTCTCTCTATCTTATCTATCTCTCTCTCTCTTTCATTCACTCTGTTTCATTCACTCTCCCCTCGCTCTCCTGAAGATTTCTCTTCTTTTGATAATCGCAGCCCTCTACCTCCTCTTATTACCAGCTTCACTCTATCTCTCCCCCCCCCCCCCCCTCTCTCTCTCTCTCTCTCTCTCTCTCTCTCTCTCTCTCTCTCTCTCTCTCTCTCTTGCTCTTTATTTACACGAATAATTAGTTGTCGTGTGAATTTGCTTCATAAACCTGCACCCTTTAAAAAGATATTTCAATAATAGACCAAGTGCAATTAAAAAACAGAACAGATGTAATTTAACATTTGTATTAATCATTATTTTCTACAACAAACATCATTATTGTCAACACAAAAACCTAGCTAATATTGCAGTAGAATATGAATCTTAAATGACAACACAATGGGGGTAATTAAACATATTTTTGAAAAGTACTGATATTTACGGAAGCGTTAAAGTGCCATTCTACTTGACGACATGACGAGATATTTCATCTTGTCAAGTCGACTTAATATCCATATCATGTCGACATGTAAAGATATTTAACCTACCATGTCGACTTATCAACTTTTATTAGTCGACATGGCGAAATAAATTATCTTGCCAAGTCGACTTCACAAAAACTTCATGTCGTCATGGCGACATAAGGTATCTTACCAAGTCGACTTCTAAAAAAATACATGTCGTCATGGCGACATATATTATCTAACCAAGTCGACTACCCAAAAAGTAATGTCGACATGGCGAAATAAATTATCTTGCCAAGTCGACTTCACAAAAAGTTAATGTCGTCATGGCGACATGTATTATCTTGCCAAGTCGACTTCACAAAAAAGTTCATCTCGTAATAGCGACATAAATTATCTCACCAAGTCGACTTCCCAAAAAGTATATGTCGTCATGGCGAGATATGAAGTGTGACGACTATTTCATGCAGCGCGCGTATATGGCAGGCCCTTTGTGTAAAAACCAGATAAACTCTGTTTTTCTCAGATAAACTCTGTTTTTCTCAGATAAACTCAGTTTATCAGAAAAACTGTGTTTATCAATGATAAACTGATTTGATAAACTGAGTTTATCAACTGATAAACTGAGTTTATCAACTGATAAACTGAGTTTCTCTGATAATAATAATAATATAGAGTATTTGTAATGCGCCAACTCCACATGAATAATGTGTTCGAGGCGCATGGAGAAGAAAAGATATACGTACACAAAAATACACACAAAAATGAACAACGACAATGTGAAAATAAAACTAAATCTACTGAAAAGCCGCTTTGAACAAATGAGTTTTAAGGGCATGTTTAAAGCAATCTACACTTGAAATATAACGAATATGTTGTGGCAATTGATTCCATATGTGAGGTCCAGCGTGTGCAAATGACCGATCCCCCATGATATCTTAGTTTTCGGAACAACAAGCAATTGAGAATCGGAAGATCTTAAGCGTCTGGGAGGATTATAAGGCATTAACAAATTAATATTGTACTCTGGGGCAGATCCATGTATACAGTGAAAAACAAGCAATAATAATTTAAATACAATACGGGATTCAACAGGTAACCAATGTAGTGAAGACAAAACAGGAGTAATGTGAGAAGTACGTCTGGTAAGGGTAACAATACGGGCTGCTGCATTTTGTAATTTTTGTAACCGTGAGAGTTGAGATTGTGGCAGCTGAAACAAAAGTGCATTACCAAAGTCCAGTCGAGACGATATGAGGGCATGAACTATTTTTTCTGTGGCCGAGCGGGTTAAATACTTGCGAATAATGCCTAAATTACGTAGTTGATACCTGACAGATTTACAAACAGCCGGGATCTGAACTGACATGGACATTGTAGAATCAAATAAAACTCCAAGATTTCTACATGATATAGATGGAGTGATAACATCACCATCAACCTTAATAGAGGAAAGGCTGACCCTGTCTAATAGAGTTTTAGAACCGATAAACAACAGCTCTGATTTCTCTTGATTTAATTTCAAGGAATTAGAGCTCATCCATTTCTTGATATCATGAACACAAGCTTCAAGTTTTGTGATGGTATCAATGACATTGGTTTGGTTAGGTAGGAATGATGTATACAGTTGGATATCGTCTGCATAACAATGGTAATTAAAAGAGTGACATTGTAAAATCTGTTTTAGACCACTTAAGTAAATTGAGAAAAGTGTTGGGCCTCCAACAGATCCTTGCGGAACACCACTTACCAACGCAGCAGGATCAGACTTTGAATTATTAACACAAACAATTTGAGACCTTTCAAATAAGTATGACTTAAACCATTCAAGAGCTTTTCCATCTACACCAAGTGATTTCAAAGTATCTAACATAATTATATGATTGACAGTATCAAATGCGGAAGATAGATCAAGTAGTAACAGAACAGTTATTCTCCCATAAACTCTGTTTATCTGTTGATAAACTGTGTTTATCATTGATACACACAGTTTTTCTGATAAACTGAGTTTATCTGGTTTTTACACAAAGGGCTTGCCATATACGCGCGCTGCATGAAATAGTCGTCACACTACATATCTCGCCATGACGACATATACTTTTTGGGAAGTCGACTTGGTGAGATAATTTATGTCGCTATTACGAGATAAACTTTTTTGTGAAGTCGACTTGGCAAGATAATACATGTCGCCATGTCGACATTAACTTTTTGTGAAGTCGACTTGGCAAGATAATTTATTTCGCCATGTCGACATTACTTTTTGGGTAGTCGACTTGGTTAGATAATATATTATGTCGCCATGACGACATGTATTTTTTTAGAAGTCGACTTGGTAAGATAACTTATGTCGCCATGACGACATGAAGTTTTTGTGAAGTCGACTTGGCAAGATAATTTATTTCGCCATGTCGACTAATAAAAGTTGATAAGTCGACATGGTAGGTTAAATATCTTTACATGTCGACATGATATGGATATTAAGTCGACTTGACAAGATGAAATATCTCGTCATGTCGTCAAGTAGAATGGCACTTTAACGCTTCCGTAGATATTCAATATTTTTCGTAAATGAATCTAAATATTTCAACACTCAAAAGAGAATGGGACAATACAATGAGACATTGAGATAAGGGGAGATCTTTGACCCTTGAATATTGGTTACAAAATATTTGATACAATTCGCTTTTGACTAATAATTAATAAGTATGGAGCAATCATTTAAAAACCAAAATGTTACATACTCCAGACGTGATCTCTTATGTGCTAGCAAATATTGACGCATCTCGTTCGACAATCAGTAATAGTCAAGAAAACACCACCAAGCAATTTCGATCAAAACTCGAGGGGCACCTCCAAACTGAACCGTGTCCCGAGACGGAGTCTAGGAGCACAGTACAGTCTCGAGATCACCACAGTTTTGAGATCACCGAATAGCTATAGTTTTAATCTTCACCCGACAAATAAGCAGTCAATATTTAGTTTATATACCGCACCGCCGTTGCCAATAATGTCAAAAGGTGATATTCTACGAGACTAATGCTAGCTGTCAAAAGGACTATTTACACATCCCAAACTCTATTTAGAAGAAAAAAATCGTAGATTTTGTGGACTGCCATTTATACTGGAAAATCCCTTACAAAAAAACGTTTTGTTCATTCCGATTGTGTGGTATCGCATGGAAGCAAGGAGAGTAACGTTGCCAAAATTCGCAATCGTACCAAAGTTTCGAGAGCGGGTATTTTCACTTCCAAAGTA